TGGATGGAGAGCATGTGTGTGTGAGGGGGGGTATTTCTGTAGAGGGACCACAGTGGAGAGAGAGGGAGAGGAAGGAAGGAAGGAAAGCAGGTGTGTATCAAGGGGCCGGGGAATAGAGGAGGAAAGCAAATGTCTGTGGAGGGGTCAGGGCATGGGGAAGAATAGGGGGGCTTGTGTGGACAGGCTGGAATCTGGGGGATGACAGGGAGTGTGTGTGGAGGGGATGAAGGGTTCCAGCGGGCAGAAGCTTCCTGAGTTAGGTGGATCCTGGTAGACATAACTGGTATCTATATTGTCTGATTCCACACTTATTGTGTCATAGGTTGTAACTGTGAAGGCAGAGAAGGTGCCCATGGGGAAGAGGCTGAGGAGGTGTAAGCAGGAAGCAGAGAATCAGCAGAAAGTGGAGGAAGTGGCAGAGAAGCTGGAGAAGGAGCATGAGGGTCTCATTGAGTTCCACAAGTCATACCATGAACTCTTCCAGTTCTTCTGTAACAACACAACCATTCATGGAGCTATCCGCCTAGTCTGCTCCAAGAGGAATAAAATGAAGACAGCCTTCTGGTCCGTGCTCTTCTTCCTCACCTTTGGCCTAATGTACTGGCAATTTGGGATCCTTTACAGAGAATACTTCAGCTTCCCTGTCAACCTGAACCTTAACCTCAACTCCGACAAGCTGACCTTCCCTGCTGTCACACTGTGCACCCTCAACCCCTACAGGTATGAGACAAACTCCCAGGGCCTCCAGGGATAAATATTTGGCATTATTGTACTCCTGTTGGATCAGGAGAAACACTCGGTGCCCCTACAGGTGATATTGAGAAACTAAGGGCTTGTCAACATGGGTAGACTTCCCTGCATAGCTATACCGTTTGGAAACAGTAATTATACCTGAAAAATGTCACTTATTCCAGGGACATATACATGTATAGTGATAGCAAAATAACTCCAAGTCTAAGTATAGCTATGGTGGGAAATTTCCCAATATAGAAAAGCCCTAACTGGTATCTATTCTCCGCATCTCACAGATATAGTGCTGTCCGGAAGGAGCTGGATGAACTGGATCGTATCACCCATCAGACACTAATGGACCTGTATAACTACAGCATGTCTCAAGTACAAAGCAACGGGGCAGCCCAGTCCAGCCAGAAACGTAGCCAAAGAAGCCTGTCCCACCATGTCCAGCGCCACCCACTGAGGAGACGCAAGCGTAATGAACCAGTCAGCCTGAAAGGGAACAGTCCTCCAGTGGACAAAAGTGACTGGAAAATTGGCTTCATTCTGGTGAGAATAGATCCCTCTCTCTCTCCTGTATCCTATAGACTCTGCCTAGCTCCTTTAGTCTCATTAGGTTCCCTAGTACCAGTTCTGGTTCCACCTATACTGTATGATAAAGTTGTTGCTGCTACTAATGAAAACTGTTAAGAGCTGAAAAAAGTCTTTCAAGCTTCTCTCTAAGGCTACACCTTCACTGCGAGTCCCATCCCCCCCCCGCCGACAGAAAATATGCTAATGAGGGACTCATTAGCATATTTTCTGCCATTTCTTTTTGCACACAGGGTTTTTGCACAAAAAGAAGCAGTGTGGACGTGGTTTTTTTGTGCAAAAACCCCATTTTAAGCAAGATTCTTATGCCTGATCTTGCACAAAACCCGTTTTGCGCAAAAAAAGTCCACACTACTTCTTTTTGCACTAAAACCCCTTGCGCAAAAAGAAACTTCAGAACATATGCTAATGATGTTGCAACTTATGCTAATAAGTCCCTCATTAGCATATTTTCTGCTGGAAAGGGAGGGGGGAAAGAAAAAACCCCATTTTAAGCAAGATTCTTATGCCTGATCTTGCACAAAACCCGTTTTGCGCAAAAAAAGTCCACACTACTTCTTTTTGCACTAAAACCCCTTGCGCAAAAAGAAACTTCAGAACATATGCTAATGATGTTGCAACTTATGCTAATAAGTCCCTCATTAGCATATTTTCTGCTGGAAAGGGAGGGGGGAAAGATGTAGCCTTAGGAGTCTAACTCTAAACATTCTAGGGAAGGACTGTCTCCCTTCTTTGTCCATTTTGTAGCATGCACTAAACCAGGGCTGCGCAAGAGGCAGTCTGGGGGCTGGATCCGGCCAATCTAACACTTTGATCTGGCCCATGAGCTGCATCTAGCTTCTTTTTATTTATATTCTGCTGCCAGTGCCACCGAATTACCAGGCGGTGGTTCAGGCTGCAGAATCCTGTTTAAACTGCTTACGGCTCCTGGTTGTGGCTTTACCCCGGTAGGAGCCGGAGCTGTAAGTTTTTTAAATAGCTGCAGCAACCCCAGGCAGCTGCCAGGCAATACAGTAGTGGCGGGACCACAAGCCCCAAGCCCTTTAAATTGCTGCTGTTTAAAGGGCTCGCAGCTCCTGGTCCCATAGCTACGGTGTTGACTGGCAGCTGCCCAGGCGGCCCAGAGTTACTGTGGCTATTTAAAGGGATCCTGGTCACAGCGCTACCCCGGCAGGGGCCAGAGCTTCGAGCCCTTTGCTGTTTTTACTTCAAAGCCTCTAGGCCCCAGGCCATTCTGGGGAAAGGCTAGTCCCTAGCCCTATCCCTTCCCCCTCAGGCACCGCCCCTTCTGGATGGGGTGGGTGGAGCTGGCCCGTGACCAGTACCATGGCTTTCGTGTGAAAATTATTGCCCACCCATGTACTAAAGTGTCAATGGGTTAACTAGAGTTCCAGCAGGAGTAAAAATTCTAGGCTAGGGCTCGTCTACAAAGGGAATGGCACAAGTGCACTGTGCTGCTGTAGCACCATACTATAGAAACCTCCTACCTCGATGGAAGGGGTTTTCCTGTTGATATAGGTAGTTGCCCTCCCTGAGTGATGGCAGCTATGTCTGTGGAAGAATTCTTCACTCAACCTAGCTGTGAGCACACTGGGGCTAGTTTCAACTGATCTATAGCACTCAGGGTTTGAATTTTTTGCACCTCTGAGTAATGTAATTAGTTTGATCACATTTTTAAGTTTAGACCAGGGCCTACATACACCCCCAGAGAGGGGCTTCCTGTTCCAGAATTGAAAGCTCCTGTGTATACTCCACAATCTCCTTTGCTGCACAGCCCATTGCAATAATGCCACTGATTTGCAGCAGTTTCTCAGTCATTCTCCAGCCCAGTAGTTTCCATCCCAATCAGGATCTGGAGTTGGGGGGGGCGGGTGGAGTGTTCCCCTTATGTCTGTTAGCTGCACTTCTCAAGTATAATCTGAATGTATTTCCTGTCCATGTTCAGGGGGCAGAGGGTGGCAGGTATACCCCTCACTCCTCCTCATGGACTTGCGTTCCTCCAGACGACTGATGTTTCTCTTGCAGTGCAACGAGACCAATGAGGATTGTTTCCACCAGACATATTCGTCAGGTGTAGATGCTGTGCGCGAGTGGTACAGTTTCCACTACATCAACATCTTGGCACGGATGCCTGACACAAAGGCCCTGGACGAGTCCAATTTTGAGAGCTTCATCTATGCTTGCCGCTTCAATGAGGTTACCTGTGACAAGGCGTGAGTGCTGAGGGGGCTCCAGTATCTCTCCTTAACAGCCTCTGCATTCCTTGCTGGGTGCAAGGAGAAGTCAAGATGCTCCTGCTGGAGAACACTATTATGCCCACTGCCTGAGGCTGGGGAATCTCTGGGGCTCCTGGATCCCATATTCTCCTTCCTTGGGGTCTTGGATCCTCAGGTTCACTGACCCCTGAGTGCCATGGGGTAGTTCCCAGGCGCTTTTCCCTTTACCTCAAATAACTGATAACACGGGTAACTGATAAGCAGGGAAGCCGACAGCCTCGCTGGTCCACTGGGCAAGCCCCAGGGCAGATGCCTTGTTTGCCCCCCGCTTCCCGCAATGGCAACCCTGCTGATAACACGGGTAACCCCGGTACATATACCAGAGTAGGTTCATTTATACTCATGTAAATGGGTCCCCACTATGGGCAAAATTGCATTAACTATACTGGCATAGTTAAAGTGGATGAAAGCGAGTACCTGGTGTTACAGTTTCCATTCAAATGATCCTAAAGAGGCAATCAAATTAATAACTTATCCAAGAGGCAGGAGAATTTAAAGCCAAGCCTACATTAAGGAGATTTTATTTTTAAAAAAATCCACTGCTGCTCACACCAGTTCTGCCCCTCCTGAGTTAGCACTGTGAGGAATCTAGCCAGAAGTCATTTTCAGCATCTTGCTCAGGGCTTGTTTACCTTACAGACACTTCTCTTTTGTATCACTATTAGTTTTCCTCTGGGTAGTGGTAAAAAGAATGGTTCCTGTTAGAATACCCATCTCTCATAATTTCTTGGGGATTTTGTCCCACATGCCTAGATACCCTTATGTGAATGTTTTCATTTTTCTCCCAGGAATTACACCCATTTCCATCACCCTCTTTATGGCAACTGCTACACATTCAATGATCGCAACAACAGCCTATGGACATCATCACTGCCTGGGATCAATAATGGTGAGGATCCCCAGAGCAGGGGAAGGAAACATACGCAGCTGTATATATAGAATAGGAGGATCTGGGAGGTAGGAGAAAACTATGAGCACTAAGATCCTGCTCTGCTTATTCCTCTTTGTGATGGTGGATTACATCCTCCATCCTGACCCATGTGAGTTTGGACTGCTGGAAGTTCATGCTTCCCCTGAGTCTGCTTTCTTGAGGCATGGCTTTGCAATCCCAGTTCTCTGCAGCCTCCAGCAACTCCAGCCCTGATCCTCAGCTCTCTGCCTCCCCCAGGCCTGGCCCCCTTACTGTGTGCTCAGTTCGGGCCCAGCCATGATTCCCTTTTCTGCTCATCTCTGAGGGTATGTCTACACTACAAAGTTAGTTCAAACTAACGGACGTTAGTTCGAACTAACTTTCATAGCCGCTACACTAGCGCTCCGCTAGTTCGAATTTGAATCGAACTAGCGGAGCGCTTAGTTCGAACTAGGTAAACCTCATTTTACGAGGATTAAGCCTAGTTCGAACTAGCTAGTTCGAATTAAGGGGTGTGTAGCCCCTTAATTCGAACTAGTGGGAGGCTAGCCCTCCCCAGCTTTCCCTGGTGGCCACTCTGGCCAACACCAGGGAAACTCTATGCCCCCTTCCCGGCCCCAGACCCCTTAAAGGGGCACGGGCTGGCTACGGTGCCCGTGCCAGGTGCAAGCCTGCCAGCACCCAGCCAGGAGACCCTGCACC